AGTGCCGAATCCTTCCGAGCCTGCTGTTCCAACAGTTCGACAAACTAACGAGGTCCAGAAATGGGTTCTGATCCTAGTCTTGCTGCGTTGGGCCAGCGACGATTGTGCGAGAAAGATGGAGGCTGCAGAACGGTTCTAAATAACCGGAACACTGCACCCCACACGCTGGAAGCCAAGCCAAAAGTCTTGAAAGTCACTAAAGCGGCATCTCCCAGCCATAAGTCGCAAGAAGCCGCGGCCTCGCCGCGGAGTGCGGAGGAGCGGTGCCAAGGGAGCCCCAAGCGAGCTCCGCTGAGCTGAGAGCCGAGAGGCAGGGGCGAGAAGGGGAGGTTTAGCGAATCTTTGTCGGAAACAGCATACCCTTCTGACATGCCCGCTGCGGGCCGCACGGAAGCCATGTGCAGGGAGAAGCGCTCCGGGCTCCAGCCCGTGCCAACCTCGGGGGTCGACTGCCAAGTGTGCGAGACGGCTGGATACTGGGTTCGGAGTGTTTGCGATTGCTGGCATCGCCCCACTATGTTAACAAGACGCTTTCAGCCCCCTGACTTAGTGCTCATTGCCCAATGACACCACAAGGGCCATTGTGAAGTCCACCTGACGCGGATACACCTTCCAGACCCGAAAGCCGAGTCCTAGATAAGCCGTACCGACGGCAAGCAGAGGCCTCGCCTTTAACACATTCAAACGCCTTTGACTCCTCATCCTGACACTTTACATAGGCATGCAGCATCGCTTATGCCCGAAAACTTGCCACCGGACTGAACTGCAAGTCATGAGCTCTCCAATTCACCGGCTTCGGCGGAGCTTTGCAGAGACTGTGAATGCCATGTGATGTGAGCAAGACTCGGATCTGACGTGGGCCTGGGGCACCCCACCCGCAAGGCAGCGAGCAAGGGCGACCTGGAAAGTAATGCCCCAGTCCCAGTCTGCTGTCACTTCGGGCATTTGAGTCATAGCCTCGGGAGCAGAACGAACCCAAGCGCCGTGCCGGGAGACTGCTGACAGATTCATGGCATCCTGCATCTTGGGGGCTGTGTTCAAAACGGAGCAGTCTACGGGAAAGCACGAAGGCCTGCCGCTAGGCTACGAAATTTAGGAGGCAACGCTTGTTGCTTCTCATGAGGTTCAAGGCAGAGACCGACGGAGGGTCGTTCCGTGCAAGCACCTCTACTGGACGAAACGCGAGCTCTTCCAGCACCTGGGATGGACGTAAATGCACCGCTTCCGGGTTTGAAAGCGTTTGGGCAGTCGTGGTCGAGCTGCTTAAGCGCACGTGAGCTTGAGTGGGCTGATATCCTTGGAGTGCTCTGATAGGACAATGCACACGCTTTTCGAAAAGAACTGTAACGGCATCGTCTCTCCATGAATTGCAACAAAAGGCCTAAATTCCTAACACGGTCACGGCAATCCTTCTTTGGGAGCCGCACAGCCTGCCCCGTGACACTGCAGCGTCGGCGGGCCAGCGGCGATTCCTGCAACTGAATTCTTTCAATCTGGAGCTTCCGAAAGGGCGCCCCCCTGCCTGGAGCAGCTCAGTGCATGCAAAGGTGGCAGAGGCCCTGTAGCGCCTTCCAAGAACAGGCCAGGCCACGGGACCCAAACCGTGTGGGAGAGTTCAAAAAGGCCCTGGCTGCACCCCAAAGTAGACGCCGTCGCGAGGCTGCTCCTCCCAGACCTGGCTGAAGCCACGGCACGGCAAGCCCGGTAGGGAGATTGTTCACGCAGAAAAAATCAGTAGATCGAGATTCTCTGCCAATCATGGGAGCAAAAGGCAGAGGAGCAGATTCAACTTACGGACTAAGCTCCCATCATCTCCAGGACAGGTCGGGTGGCCTCAAGTCGCTCCGGCGAGGCCAAAGCCTCACAGAAGCGTTTGTGGAGAATGTGCTGTTTTCTTATCACGCTGAGCCCAACAAAACGCAAGCCTTCAAGGTTCAAGGCAAAGACACATGATCACTAGCTGCAGCATCACAAAGCTCTGTGAGAAGCATTTCTCGGCCGTTACGCAGGCACCCAAACGCTTCGTATCACTTGGGTTAAACCCTTCACCGTCCCGGCTGCAGGCTCCAAAAGGCACCAGGCACCCGAACCCCAACCCCAAAGCCGAAAGAAAGCTCAGGGCCGCAGCATCTGCATGAAAAAGCGCCTGCCAGGTGCGATCGGCTCAGAAGATCCCCCCTAGATTGGTATAGAACGTCATTATGCCGGTAAGAGGGTGAATCTCAGTGACCTGAAACCCGAAACAGTTTCGGGTTGGGTCCACATGGTTTTAAGTCCCATCTTGAAGCTTCCCCCACTCCAAGACAGAGATTGAGGGCCGAGGCCTATGAACGAGGGTTCAAGCAGTCCAAAGCGCGTTCGCTGCCGGAAAAAAAAAACCGGGGCTTGTACGCGTACGGAGAAATTACATAGACAGTACTTCCGCTCTTTTGTTTAGACAGAATGGTAAGGTCAGGATGTCATATTGATTTTACGCGGTTTCTGATGCTCTCATGTTTCGAAAGGGCAGGATGGCAATTCGGAATTATCAAGTGAGCATAGGGAGTGTGCGGAATGAGAGCCGGAATCGAACTTGAAGAGTGGGTCGTACTCTGGATGCGTCGTTCCCACGCTTTTCTTCCACTTTTGCGGAAGTGCACCTTGAGCCATGCCCGCGACGAGGCCCCTTTGACCTCCAGCCAGCGAGGGCCTGTTGGGGGAACCATATCATCAGATCACATGACGAATTTTATGGTTTAAACAAGCTCCGTCAGTCTCCGTAACTTTGCGCCGATGCTGCCACATTCTTCCATGACTCATGACGGATACACAAACCCAAGCTTTAGGCATCGCGGTGCTACCGAGTAGATGATCACTCAAGCATCCGAAACATCGAATTTGCTTCGCCGCGCCAGAACCAAAGTCGGTGCTGCGTCCATCGACAGCGTCATCTATACGGTCCTGCGTCGCCACTGTAAGTCAGAGAAGAAATGAGGCCCTACTAGTCACGGGCTTTGGGCTGGTACCCAACATGCCACAGAGTTTCAACTCGTTTTTCAGGCAACGTCACTTCAGCTCGCCGGCTGCTGCATCAGCGAAGCTGAAAGCTCTCAAAGCCGTGATCGTATCCTGAAGGGACCTTGTTTGGTTGTTGTCAAACTTCCGCGCGAAGAAGACCGCCATGCCTTTGCCTGCAAACTGCATCGCGGGGCTCAAGAACCGTTCCAACAGCACTCTGCTCAGGAACCAGTGATTGCCTGGCTACCTAAAGTTGAAGCCCAGCCGAGAGCAGTAAAGCAGAAAACCTTCAGCCGGCCAAGACACTTTTGACCTCCGACAGCACGGGCCAGAAGCTCTCGTTGAGGACTGGAGGAGTCAGCATTTTCAACTCCTTGGTCAGACGTCCAGCTCCGGCGAGCTTCAAGCTAGATTCAACTAGAGGTGCCTGAATCCTCACATCCTGGTGCCGAGACTCGGGTCCCGCAACTTCCGGCGACGAGCTGTCCGGGGCCAGTCGGGGTCGATCCTTATTGGTCGGGTTGGAGGAGTCTTCTTCGGGCGGGGCCTTTGGGCCTTTACTCGGCCGAGGCTCCCAGATGTGGAAGCCCCAACGGACGTGCCGTTGGCAAAACGGGCCTCGCTTTACGAAGCGACTTCCACCAATCCAAGTCTTCACAAGGATCCAGGGCCCGGGCTATTCAGCGACATCGTCCTCAGATGCAGCTTCGCAATGGTCCGAGGCGCGGGGCTAACAGCGAGGAGGAACCTATCAGGTTTCGCATCAGCATCCAGCTTCGGGAACAATGCTGAGCTGTAGCGGCCCCCAAATAGATTTGGTTTGGTACACTACTGCCCGATACGTTGACCAATCGTGCAAAAGAAAGCTCTCAGCAACGAGAGCACATGGAGAGGGATTGCTTGATGTTGTTGCTTCTCCTGTCGTGGTTTGTGTCGCTTCTGTGGCTTCGTGCGCATTTGTGTTGGCGAAATCTGCTACCACACGAATTACATGCCGCCGACTGCGTTGTGCCTGGGCAAACCGAGCCCAGCTAAGAAAAATGCGACTAGCATCAACAGGCCCAATCGATGTACGTGCATTACATCGAAAAACTATATCAAGCAGAAGCGTTCATTGTCGACAGAAAGCAAATCCATCTGCAAGCCGGCCCGGTTTTGGCATCTATCAGGTGCTACCAGCTAAAGGCACAAGCCAGGATAACATAAAGTAGACAAGTTGCTGGCGATGGCTTCAGGCACGTCACGCCGCGAGTTCAATGCTGCATGCTACACTCTCAAGGTAAAGGTAGCTTACCGTCGCTTCGGGTTAAATGACTCCGAACCAGCCAAGCCACTGGAAGAACTTCTCGTCCGGCTGCTGCAGGATGCCTTGCTACATACAATCTTCTCTCAAGCACAGCAGGTGATTTCAGTTCCTCTAACACTGCAGACATCTACACTAGGCATTCATAAAACGACATTCTGCATCCGGCGCAAGACCTGAACTGAAGGCAACAGCAGCTTAGGGCACCTAGAACTCCTAGCTGCACAACATCCGAGTTAAACCAAGTCCGCCAACTCGCAGCTCAGATGCTGAGATCTTCCAATACTTGTTGCACAGGCGTGAGCGCCACGCCCCGATTTGTGTCCTCAAGGTCTAAGTTTTCTGGACTTGGGTGCGTGAAGAGATTGAAACATGTTTCTCGAAGGAGTATTCTCTGTTGCGTTTCCGCTCCGAATGCACGCATAGCCTCTGTTCTCACCAAGCCGAGAGTCGATGTAACTCGCGAAAGCCCAGGTGATCGCCTCGATACAGGAGCGAGGGGGATCCATGGGAGCTCTGACAGAGACTTTGTGGTCAAGCTTCGAGGAGGGGAGGAGAGGGGCAGAGCCAGGGCATCTACAGTTCTAGCAAAGGGCTCTAGCCTATGGAACAGCTCAAGGCTGAGGATGGAATCTACTCGCTCCTGGGTACTGGCCAAAGCTTTGCAAGAGTTGACGCTAGAGAACGACCATCGCATTTTCCATGGTGCAATCGCTGCTTTTGTAAAGTGTTTCTCAGGGGTAACTACCTCACAAGACCTCGACTTGGGCACCAGATTCATGCAACTCTCTCCCTATAGCAGCAACAAAAGAACAACTAAGCTGGGCTGCCACAAGGTTCGGCCCCGAGGCGTGCTGCAGCTCCGGGCGTCGAGGGTACCTGTGCACGCACACGAGGCTCCAGGGTGTTCCCGTGCGACAGTTGTGCGTTTTAGGGCCTTGCAGCCTGTCCTCGCGGACGCTGTAAACGGTATGCTTACAATTTGGTCGAGGATGACGTTTCGTGGCAGGCAGCAGATGTTAGAGACCGTCGTTCCTCCAATCACACCGGACCGGAACGAGAGGCCTTGCCAGAACTTGACTTGGGCTGGGCACAACATGCCCTGGACCCAGCCCTGTGATGTCGCTGGATACCTGGTCTCTGGCGCGATGGAGTAGAGCTCATCCCGGCATTCGTACACCAGGTACCGCCCACAATCACAATCCTGTGGAAGAGCGAAAGCAGGGTCCGGTCGTTCGATATAGTTGCGCAGAGTGGCATCACGACCGGCGGGCTGTTCTGGCACAAGCTTAGTTAAACTGTCTTTCTCCGCGGACTAGGCGACTTCTCGGAGCTAAAGGCTCTGTGGAGATCTGAGACCACAGCTACAAGTGGATACTGGTCCCCTTCGCAAGCTGCAGCAGTCTTGAGTGCATGTCCAGTACTCGACCCACTTGCAAGTTCTAGATGGTTCCAGCACTCAACAACCGGTCGACAAGCCTTCCCTTCCCCGCACCATCTGTTACCCGAGACCCTCAAGTGCGGTGCTCGCTCCTTGTAAGCCGACCCGACATTCACGAAGTTGCTGCCGTTGTTCAACCAAAGAAAGCGTTGGAGCGACGACAGGTCCGCCACCGGGTAATCAGAGTCCTTGAATCTCCGGTGGTGGAAGAGTAGAGACAGTCGGACTGCTGAGGCGGTCGCATTGAGATTAATGAAGTAGTCCCAGCCCTCCACCTGCAGTCCGATCAAAGCTTGTCTGAGATATGCAGCAAGTCCACAAAGGTCCTGTATAAGACACTTCATGTCAATGACGTCAGATGGCAACGAGCTCGTGGCGTTTTGTAGAAGCCAGGACATACCCCAGAGCCAAGCTGTAAGTGTGCTAACCTCCATCCAGGTTTCGGCACGAGCTTGTCTTCTTGATCCACATTGTCGCAAACCTCTAATGTCTGGGTTCCGGGCACCTCCACGGTTCACGCGGTACTTGGACCTCAGGGAGACTTTGTCCCCGAGGCCAAGGCGAACGACCTCGCAGAAGCCACTTAAAAGCACAGGACAAAGATGAGTGCAGCCTACAAGTCAATTTCAGGTGGCCCCGACGGGGCCGCTGAGAGCAGGGCCGACTCCTCGAGCGATTGCAAGTAGTCGGGACCTCGTTGGGTCAGGAAAGAAGGGTCCTTCCTTCTTGCCTGCTCTGCTGCGCCTTTTTGACATGAAATCTTTCTACCCCATATCGAATCAGCTGCAGTCTGTTGTGGCTTCGGAGATGGCCACCGGCACAACACACCCCTTTGAGTTCCACACGTTTTTCGTCGACGTGCCTTAGGTCATGGTCTGCTAGCGCTGGGAAAGTACTCAGAACAGGGCAAGCGCTATAAGAATCTAAAGCATTGAGCCGCCAGCAGCTGCTTCACCGAACTAACTTTGTTGGTTCCGCGCTGAGCGCTGGCTTGCCCCGTTGCTACTCCTTCCCTTCCTCCTTTCATCCAAATCTCCCTGTCTCTCTTTATCTCTTCTTCGTCAGGGCTCTTTTTTCTCATCCCTCGCTCTCTCTTTGCTTTGCTTTGCTCTCTCTCTCTCTCTCGCTCTTTCTTTCGCCAGGGTTATGCTCTCTCGCTCTCTCTCTTTCTTTCGCCAGGGTTATGGTGCAGAGGTTTCCCTCTACACCGCGCGCGTCAGCGCCCCCGACTGTTGGGGGGTGAGCAAGTTGCAATCTCATGCCCTCGGCACTGCATGCTGTAGTTAAGCGCAGCTTCCCTCAGCGACTGCAATTCGAAAGACCAAAAGGGGCGGATCAGGACAAAATATTAGGATAAACTAGGACAGGACAGGATCACAGTGATGAGGAATTCAGCTGTGGGAAGAGGGGGCGTTCCCCTGTGGCTTCGGGCATTCGAATTATAGTTATGGCTATGATCGACGTCGGCGTGCTTCTGGAACCATTTTCGAACAGACCAAAACGACAAAAAGAAGACGTGGTCAGAAATTAAAGAAGAAGGTTCCAGCACATCCCGTCGTCCAGGGGCGTCCCCCTTGTCAAAGAAAACAGCGGTGAGACTTGCCGTGAGTGTGCTTTAGGGGAAGCTTGCTGGAATCTGTGCTGGCTGACCAAGTCAGAAACAACAGCGATGAACTTGTACAAGATGGAAGAATGAGGAAAATTAAATTCGGCACTTGTACAGCATGGTTTCCCGTAGTTACAGTAGGGTTCTACTTGCCTGGCTCGACGAGGGCAGCAACAAAGGAACTGACTCGGAACAAACAAACCAGTAAAGAGATCACAGGACGCGAGGCTTGGCAGAAAAAGGCGCTTCGGGGCCAGCGAAGACTGCCATGGGTGTTGTGATGAAAGTGAAGGGGCGCCCCCCCTGCTGCTGAACTTTAGGCGTTCACGGGCGTCCCTTCTGTCGCGAAAAGCAGACGGTGAGACGCTTCTATGCTTGCGTGTAGGCAAGAAGGCTCGCAGCACAACAAAAAAAACAAAGGCAATACACTAGGCACTTGAATGGTATGCTTCCACGCAGTAAAAGTTGGGCTACAACTAGGTGCTACTTGCCTGGTTTGACGAGGGCAGCAACAAAGGAACAGACTTCGAACAGAAAAGACCAATAATAATATCATAGGGCGCCAGGCTTCGGGAGCAAGAGGTTCTTCAGTGGTAGCGAAATTCGCCACAGGTATTGCTCTCGGAGAGGTTCGGGTTCGCTCAGCCACTGTAGAAACTACAACTCACAGGACCGGAATGAACAGTTAGAGGAGATGTAGCTAAGTTGTCGGCCGAACCTTGGGCGTGCGAGGGGCGTCCCCCTGTTTCGGCAAGTTGGTCACCCGCGGGTTTGCCCTCGCTCACAGCAACAAGGCGGAAAAGCACATAGTATCAGAAAGGAAGTAACGCAATGACGAGTGCACCATGTGTAGCTCATCCGCAGGGTTGCTCGTAAGCTTGCAGAAATGCCTACCGACCTGGCTTCACACGGGCAGCAACAAGTAACACACGAGGAAACATCAAAACTCGATGGAGATCACAGCACGCCTCTCTCTCTCTCTCTCTTTTTTTCTTTTCTTTCTACGCCCTCTCTCTCTCTCTCTCTCTCTCTCTCTCTCTCTCTCCCTGCGTGCCATCACTGCGCTCTGCTGCTCATGATGCGTGATGTCTGTGTTCCTTTGTTCTTGCAGTGTTGGCGCCTGTCAGCCAAGCCACACCAGGACGTGCCGGGCAGCAGGCGCCAGCCGCTGCAACAAACGGCCAACCTGAAACACGAGCGACATCCTAGACCCAATGCTACACACATGGCTTACTGATTCGGCCCTTACGCTGCCGTTTTCTCCAGCAGTTGGCGCAATTGACAGGGGAGCTGTGGTTGCTGCAGGTGCGAGCACTCCTTCTATCCTGGCGCCAGCGCGGCGCCGCTGTCAACTTTCGACTTTGGCTTCGCCCGGCCGAAGCTCACAGGGCAAAGACGCGCTTCCTTCGGCCCTTGACAGCTCGGCTTTCCGGCTTTGACCAATACCTGCAGGAGCTCCCTCCTTCACCGCAGACTCGTGCCGGGCGCAGATCTCCATCTCCTCCTCCCTGCTCTCAACGCTTTCGCCATGGACTGTCCAGGAAGCGTCGGAGCGTCCGAGCTCCTGGAAGCAGTCAATTCCTCGCGTAGTTTCATGCGCATCTCTGCTGCAAAGCCGTTCGCCTCGCTCTGTTTGAAAAGAACTCCGAACTCAATCTCGGCTCCTGGGCTCCACCACGAACGCGGGGTTGTAAGGACGGAAGCCTTCTCAACGTGGGGTGACACCTGGCATCGGCCCAAGAGCTAGGACCCTTCATGCTCTATGTCGCTCTTGAAGCCTGGCTGCTCTGCTTGGAAATCTAAACTGCGCCGTCGAAATAAGATGGGGAACCTATAAACTCCTCAGCACAAGCGGCACGGGAGGCGTTACAATACAAGGGTGCGCATGCTGCAGCACCATTCTTCTGGCCTTGTCGCTGCATGTGCGCCAGCACCTCACAGGGTGGACCTCGCGGTTTAGAAACTGTGACGCCGAGTTCAATTCCCGTAAGTTGAAACTGAAGGTCTTCCAAAGCCTTGCATTGACGCTGTCATGTTTCCCAATCATGAGCTTCGCAAATCGGGGGATGCTTGAGCTCCTCGGAGCAATGGCGGTCTGACCGAAAACGCTCCAAACCTTAAACCCGCGAATGCGCCCTGCCTGTACCATAGGCATATCCCCGAAACCTGCACTGCTGGCGCCTTGCAGTGATGCCTCGGAGAGCACCAGAAAGTCCGCCGGGCCGATTGGATGGAGCACCGTCGCATCCAGGGGGCAGTCGTTGGGCAAGCGGCGTCCTTGCAGGATGGCCAAGTCTTGTTCAGCAGTCAGTTCCCCTGGCTCCGTTAGCGGATAAAACCATGGCAAGCAAAACGGTCTGCATGAGCTGCATGTCGCGCACAATCAGTGTTAAAACAACACCACTCCCAAAGCTATCCGAGTCTCAAAGGCAATTACTTTGGGCAGTGGTGCAATCTTGGGTGGGCTTCGCATGTTGGACAGCCGTCCAAAATGCGCAGGGTTGGAGTTTAGCTTGGCTGCGCCGCGATCGTACAACCGGTTCTGGTCGGCTCTTGCAAGGTAAATGCATACGACCTTCCCTCAGCAAACCAAACCGCTACTTGCAGTACAATGGACTGGGCATCCGAGCTCTGAGAGATGAGCAAGCCCAATTGTATCTTGCCCACAAAGGAAGCTTCGGAGCCTACAGTGCCTACAGACTCCGAAATCTGGACCGAAGGCTGCAAGGGTTTGGCCGCGTCCTGTGTAGACCCCAGGCATCGACTCTCGGTGCAGCGCCAGGGGCTCCAGCCAAGCACTCACCGCAGCACCGGGCCCCCCCTGGTTGCTGGCACGGGAAACGGGAAGCGGAACCGGAGCTGATAACCTAACTGAAACTGAAACCTCCCACTGCCGCAAGGGGGGTCGACGTCGACTAGCAGCAAAGAACGAAAGGAACAACGCAGGGACTGGGAAGGACAACAAGCCACTCAATTGCTGCTTTCGGGGTGGACACAAGATTTGCAGCTCCTGTAGCCGGTAAACACCCTTACGACACCAGATCCTGTCCACTAACCTCTACTTGTCCAACGACCCGGCGCCTCCAACTCTGTCCTCAAACGCTTGACCATGCGCTTGGAGGCCAGCAGGTGGAAGACATCCTCCACGCCCCGATGACATCACCGAAAACAGAAAAGGGCTCGAAGCCCACGAACACTTTGAACACAAAGCTAGATTCGCGACAGGCCCTCAGGCCCCACACTGTGATTCGACAAAAAGTTTAAAGGGATTAAAGCCTTCAAATCCTAAAGCGGAGTCCCCGCCTGGGTAAGGGCGAAGAACACCGGGCTGAGCCTGAGGATGAAACATTGCACGGGCACTGCACTGGTTCACTGCCTGGCCGGTGCCAAACGTTGCCCAACCAGCACCGGAAGTACGAGTATTAAGAAGCATCCTCGCACGAGTTTCCAGTGGCCTGTGGTAGGGGCTGAGTCAGCATGCAAGCGCACACACACGCAACAATTAACTTGCTTGCTTGCTTGCCGGGCGTTTGGAGCCCAGGGGGATTCCCCATAGGACCCAAGCGCTACGCCTGTGTCCGTGTCCGGTCTTTGAGTGAGCCAAGGGTTTGGGTTTAGGATCAATTAATTTGCTCTCTCTCTCTTCGACTTCGACTTCGAGTTCTGGGGACAAGTCCAGCAAGCTGGACCCGGGCCTAGGCCCCCCCTTCTCTACCACGACTGTGGGAGAAAAGGCATTGGGGTCACACGTTGGGAGGTTTTCCCCCGTGGTCGGAGTGGTTTGTGGAGATTGCCTGGCAGGGACCCACCCTAACCCTTAACTTTAGCCCGCATCCCGGCCTCGTCCCCGCGCCCACTACGGCAAAGTCCTTAGCCCCTCACCAAGCAATTTCCCCCCAACTATTTCTAGCATTCGGTGGCCGCCCCTACGCAAACAACAGCAACACGCTAAGGCCCATGCGACAGTACTTGCAAAACACGACTGCAGGCTGGCCCCCTTCTCACTCACTAGTGTCCCCGGGTTCCCCGCCCCGTCCGCAAAAAGCAACAGCGAAGAACAAACAAACGTGCAGGTAACGAAGACGGCGGGTCCCCCATTACTTTAGAAAGAAAAGGCCGGTTGAATTATTTCTACTAGTTTGGACAAAGTCGGCGAAAGCGTTGAATTACTGTGGCGGTTGGTAACAAAAGTCGCAGAGCGGCGACTGGTGCAATTGAATTGGGCTTTCGGTCGCTACTTCGAGCTGTTGTAGAAAATGAAAACCACACGGCGGCTACTTCGAGCTACCTGCAAGAAGGCATGCGTTCCCCCGGCAAGGGTTCAGAGGAGAAACTCGGGAGCTAGGGGAGGCGAAAGGCAGCAGCAACACACGACAAAAAGAGTGCCGTCCCCCAGCTCCCGTCCCCCGCACATTGTGCTTTTTGCAAGTCGCGCTCACGGCTCCCACGTTGGTTGTGCATATGTTCTTGTACTTGCTGCACTTGCCACCAAATACTCGGCTGTAGTCGTACTCGCTGCGGGCTTCTGCTCGGGCTGTTTGGGCGTTCTTCCCCCAGCCTGTTTCTCCTTGGGCTTGTGCATGGCCGTCTCCCCCGCGGGCTGCGGCTGGGGGTGCGCGGGCGCTCTGCCCCCAACCGTCTTCTCCGTGGGCTTCGGCTAGGAGTGCGCGGCCTCTCTTTTCCAAAGCTGCGTCCCCCTTCTTGCGAGTCATCTTTGGTGGCTGGTCCAGTGCTTCCCCTTCCTGGCTCACTCTGGCCTTGGGCTGTCGCTGTCTCCCGGTTGCTTCCGTCCTCGGTCGTCACTTTTTCATCTCGCTCTCCCCCGCTCTGGTTGTGCAGTTCTGTGCCGGAGGTTGCGGAGTCTGCGCTCCCCCAGTCGACTTCATCTTCTTCGCCCCCTTCTCGCAAGTCGGCTGTGGCATCTCCCCCACGGCTTGTTGTTGGTGGCGTTGAGGTTGTCGCCCGCGCTGCTTTACGCCGCATCCCGAGCTTCTTCCGGATTTGGCGTGCCTTTTTCAGTAGTGGGCCGGCTTTTTGTGGAAAGCGGATAACATGTGCCCGCGTTTCATTGGCGAGCTTTGGCATGTACTTGTCCACGATCCTGGTAAGCTTGTCCACCGTGCTGGCTATTTTGCACCTTTCTTCAAACCGTTCGCGGTACTTGACATACTCCCCCGCCTCCAGGGTGGTCAAGGGCTTGTCTGTCACAAGGTCCATCCATGTGTCACCCTCCTTGTAGATCTCGCGCTTCCCCCACTTGTCGAGTGGCCCAGGTAGAAAGTGTAGGCCTATCCCCCTCTTTGTGGTAAACCTGGTCATGTGTGTGAAAGGGACCTGCGTGCTTCTCGTTTCTCCCGCCTCTTTCAACGGCGGGTTGCTGCCCTGGGTCACCGGACGGCTTCCCGTCCCCTTCTCACTGCAACCATGGAAGCGGCATGCTGGATCTCCCCTCTCATGTACCTTGCGGATCCTTGCGGAAACCCTGCTGGCATACTCCTGTACCCTGTCGGCATATGCGGCACTGCTTCTTCCCTTTCAGCTTTCTTCCCCCACTTGGGTCCATCTGTACCACTCCACCACGGTGGATATTGTTCTCAGTCTCCCCGCTAGTCACGGACTTGCAAGTGTGGTACTCCCCCTCCCAGCGCAGTCGTTCGGTAAGCGAAGCTTGGCTGAGAATATCAGGGTGCTGGTGGCGAAGAAGACCGTGTCCCCCTCGGTTAGCAGGTCGAGCTGGAAGGTCTTGCTGCCCCCCGGTCGCCGGACTGCAAGTAGTGTTCGATCGTGCCGTTCAACTTTATAGCTCGCTCCCTGCAGGAACGCTACACGGGCCACTTAAGGGCAATGGCGGCGGACGATTGGTCTCAAGCACCGCTGGGACAACGGTAGGGCTCTCTCGGAGGAACAGTCCGAGCCAACCCCACCAGGTGCCCCCCGATGCAAGGAGGTGGAACACACCCCCAAGCAAAGGTGCAGTACTTGAGCCAAAATGGCTACCTCTCTCTCTCTCTCTCTCTTTCTCTTTGGCAAGGGCAGCCCGCGCGGATCCGCACTGCCCATCCACCTCTTGCTTGCACACAGCCAAAGGGCAGCGCACCGCCCTCGCGCGAGTCCGCGCACTGGTTGGTCTCACCTCTCTCGCTCTCCCCACCTCTCCCGCTGCGACTGAGGCACCCCGGCTGCTGCCAGTGGCTTTGCCAGTGGCCAATCACCGTCCCTTGGCTTCCCGAGCATCGGGCTTACACTTTGCAGTTGGCTCAAGGGCTCTTGCGGATTCGCCGGCTTCCGGCTGCGAAAGCGTACCCCCGCATGGCGTCCGATCCAACCAGGAAAGACGCATGCCACATGCACCTTTCTCGGAGCTGTTGTAGCCGAGGCGCGAGCGGCCGCATTGCCTGACGCCTGCTCAATCTCGGAAACCTTGCCCAACAGCCTTCGCTGCGCAACACAAACAGCTTTTGGGAAAGCATGAAAATGCGAAACCAAGCTCCCACCCAAACCACGTTCATAGGAGTCGAAAACCTATTGTCCATAGCAATGCCCTCAGGCTGAAAGATGGGAAAGCCGAGCCACACCGCGACATTGACGAAAGCATCCTGGTTTCCAAGCAAGAATGGGGCGGCCAACTTTGCTAACCCGTACAAGTGTCATGTTTGTGCTTTGACATGTTTTTTGACCTTCTAGTGAAGGTAACGGGGGAGGTTGGCAACCTTCACGGTGCTTCGAAGAGGTACAAATGCTTCATGTTGCAATGGACATCACGAAGCAAGACAGCTTTGGGAGATGGGAGGCTTGGGGTCCGAGCACGTGAACTCACGAAATCCACGGGTGGAAGCTGGCACAAAATGTCAAAGCCCACACCGACCCTGATCTCATGTCAACAGATGACATCTGGCTTTGGCTGGCCAGAGCTGGCCTCCTGGACCACGACGAGCCACCGGAACTGAAATCGCTGCCTTCCGCAGCTTTGCGGGTAAGTTGTGCTAGGGAGGGCTCTATGGCCAAGGGCAGATCTCGCAACTCAACGGGAAATTATCCAATGCGGCCAATGCACAGGAAGGCGAAAGTCCACCGAAGTTGTTCCTGAGAGTTTAGCCGCATCGAGATCCACAACTGCTTTTTGCGAAAGCTTTCAGGATAGTCAACGGCTGAAAGTTCATACTGTGGAGCTCTTGCTTTGTGCACTGTCTACAGACCAGCCATCCACGATGAGGCTTCCCGTCTCCGTTAAGGCAATGGAAGACAGACAGAGATGCAGCGAAACAGAGAGAGAGAGAGAGAGAGAGACAGAGACAGAGACAGAGACAGAGACAGAGAGGGAGAAAAAGACATCGCACGATGATCATCAGCAGTCTGAAACACAGTTGATAAAGCCCTGGCTGCAAGAACACGATACCGGATGGACACAAGCGGCTGAAGAGGGTTCGGCTGTCATCGGCTGTCCGGCAGAAGGCATATAGACAATGTCGCCGAACTCGGCCTCCTCGCTGCATAACGGCTGGCAGTTTCCAAAACACTTGGAAGGAAGAGCTTGGCACCTCCTTGACCACAGAGGGCATCTCGGCCGCAGCCTCACGTGGTCAGGCCAGAAGAGACTCGGATCGGGGAGAGATGGCAGTCTCTGGGGCTCAGCACCTCGTCCAGGAAGAAAGCCCAGTTGATGGCCGCAAGCTCGGCAAGCCGGGGCAGCCAAGCGATCCTCAAGCAGGAGTTGATGCACCCGGCAAGTCCCGATTCCCGGTGTGGACTATTGTCGTCCGGCATGGCCCTCCGGGCAGGAAGATGCGGTACCAGCCCAGCAGTGTAAACCCCCAGTGCAGCAACCAAATCCACTACCACCAGCTGCCTGCAGTGCCCTCGCGTCGCGGCCAAGTCACTGTGTGGCTTGCTCCTCCTCGCCACGCAGGAGCCGCCGGAACTGCGTGCCCGTATCCGTAGCCGAAGAAAAGACCGCAGCGAAGAACCTCGCAACTTGTGACGGCAGTCTTTCGTGTCGCAGGTGCACAAAGAGAGGAGCTTTGTTTTGTTGTGGAAAGGCCGAGGATGTCTTGCAGGAGCCCCGTCAAATAAATCTGCATTCCTCAATTCAGCAACCACTCCCTTTGCCACTGAGCAGCATACCAAACTCTACCTGGGACACATGGCAATGTGGCAATTTGTCAGGGTGAGCCCAGACAGATGGCAGCCACTGCCCGAAACGAAGCCGTCAAAGTCAAAGTTACATCAAAGGACGAGCAAGCGAGTAAGGAGGTGGATGTCGACCTGGGGTAGAGGTCCGAACCTCCATGGGCCCTCCCACCCAAGCTGGGCGGCTTGGGTTGGAACTGACATGGCATCACCCCTCGACTTGAAGAGTTATGGTCAAAGGCCCTGTCGAGCAACGAACCGCAAGGGACCGCATATAGCAAAGGTTGACCTTGGACGAGATTATAACGTCGCCAGGGCGAGTGAGGTCCTCATATTTCCATGTTTCCTTACCCCCGCAGAGTGGTCTTCATCTTCATCAACTCCCCTACACGCCTACCGACAACTGCCTGAAAATCCAGAATTCCAGCGATTTTCCTCACCTCCAACTTGTCAAGAATCTCGTCCCAGCTTGAAGCATGCTTTTCCTACTTCCCTAGTTTCTTGCATACGTGGGTGCTGAGATGCAAATCAAAGTACCTTTGCCACCTTGCGACCAGCCTGTGACTGCTTCTCCACGGAGGAAGATGGCCAGATTGCACGATTCGGCACCACCTTACTTACACCTTTGGATGGCTGGCATCTGTGTGCTATAGTTCTGCTCGCAATGCGAAAAAATGACCCACCCCTAATTACAGGCTGCAAGTACCCACCTTGCACGGGCCATGCCGAAAGTAGGGGCTTTTGATTTTCGAATCTCGCAAAAGACAGCTACAAACGCCAGCCTTCCATCAGTCAATGGTCAGCTTCTCTCCCCTGCTTCTTGCGATTAAGACTTCAGGACAGCAAGGGCCGATTGGCAGCAGCGCCGCAGATCTCTGCTCTTCACTGCGCGTTAGTAGGTCTACGCTGTGCTTGAGACTCCCCTTCACAGCGCGCGCGTCAGGCATGAGCCAAGCGCATTTAGGCCGATTTCCCCAACCCCTTGAACTCTTAGCTCCCACCCGAAAACTGCGCAGCTCGAGCCAGCTGCCCGGTCGCGGAACTGGCACAGAACCTTCCAACCTCACGGACAAAAGGACTTCCACCCTGAGAACCAAAGAAAAGCAAGGTCTGCTGAGGCAAGCTACCGGGGGGTCCGGCTGTGGCCCGCAGGTGTCGTCAGAAATCTGCCAGGGCGGCACATCCTGGTTTGAAGCAGGGTGCTCTGTTTAAGCATATTGGAAAGTCTTCGGATTCGGCTGGTAGACTTCGAGCTGGGCATGTCGATTCGAAAGCTGATGCCCGCCCACTCCAGCCAAGTAAAGCTGTTATGACCTGGCTGGGTGAACGATTCCTGCGCAGAAAAGACTGTTCCCTTTGAGTTTCTCGCAGTTGGGATGACCTACATATCTTGTGTTCCCCCTGACCCCGTAAGAAATCATGCGTTGCTCTGCGTTGGTCGCGGGGTGGATGACCGAAAGCCCCCTAACACACTATCCCAGATGGAAAGTCCAACGGAAAACATGTACCGGGATCCCTGCTGATACGAACAGTCGAAAATGTATTTCGAACCGCCAGACATCCATGCGACACCCCCTCCAAGTACATTAAGTTAGGGGGTAGTGCTAGGTTGGCACAAGCTGGCGCCACGTGTGGGCGTGAGAAGCCTGAGTTCACCACAGACCTGCCCCGCGAACCAACCACACTCCAGAACGAAGCCCTGCGTGGCCTTCGATATGAATTCGTTGTGGTCCGTCGCACTTAGCATGTCGTACTTCTGGAGCAGATACCTGCAGCCAGCTTCTCGGTAGGCTCATGAATCGTCGAGGCTTGATCGCTTGGCACAACGGTGCAAAGACAATGTCTGGTAAAACAGCCCTGGCACATCATGCTGGGAAAGCCGACTTTTGTGAACTCCTTCGTCATGAGCTCTTGCATGCGATCCCTCCTCTGTTTGTACTCTCCCTTCATCTTCACGCGGAAGTGCGGGAATGTGGAATCGAAGCAAACAGCCGCCTGCAGCCCGAGGTAGCTGTTGGAGTAGAAGAACTGTTCGTGCTCCCCGACCCTCAGGTTGTCCTGGAACTTGAAGCCGCGGAGCCGTGCCACCCTTCCCAGGAAGGCCATGGGGTGGATTCCCACACGCGTGCAGCCGTCTGGAGCACCAGCAGCCGTCATCGGATCTAGGTAGAGGCGATTCGACGTGGCACGCAGCTGTCCGCGGAAGGCCCCGAAGTTGCGCTCGTCCTCCAAAATCGGAAACCCCAAGAGGTCAAAGGGAAGGGTCAGAGAGTGAAGCTGGCTCCTCATGTGCCACAGCATGCATTCCAGACAAGACAAAGGCGACCGCACGAAGTCGTCGTCGAGAACGAGGAGGAACTCTGTCTGTACTCGGTGCACCAGCAGCTTCTTCCCACGGGATAGACCGAAGTCGTATGGGACGTCAATGACAGACATGCGTGAGACGCTGGGGTGTGGACGCTCCTTGAGCGCTTGGCAGTCGATCCCCTCTGCACACTCGCACGTCACCAGCACAGGAAGGTGCTCGTACATGCTCCGAAAAGATGCTCCCAGGCGGTCCAGTAAGTCACAGCGTGAGGCCGAATGAGCCACTACTGTGATGTGATCCTGGACATCATCCAGCAAGGCTTGCATTCGAATCGTTTTGGTTGCAGGCATCTTTGCCTGGCATTGCTCCTCCAATGTCAAGACCATTTCGTCAAAGTGTTCTAACAACTCGGCCTCTGTCAATCGGGAATCTCTCTGCCCAGGGGATTGCCCAGGAAGAGGCTCGAAGGCCAGCACTGAGATCGCCGCATTCAGCTGTGCCGGGAGCCCGCGGAACCGGAAGGCGCGCTGGTCCACCGACAGCGCCTGCCGACAAAGGCGGAAGGCACGAACTTGGTCTGGCGTATCGTAGCCCCCCGTCTTCTGGGAGCCCTCTACGCGGGCACCGGGGCGACAAAAGAACCGCAACTTGGGAGGAGTGCCCCCGGATCCGATCATCAGCTGCACCTGGTGGCCTCCTTCCCCTTGCGTGCCATGGCACGTGCTGAGACCTACGACTCGCACATCCCGGAAAGTGCGGTAGCCCCCGACATCACCGGGAAGTGCAGCCTCCCTCGGCAATGCTTTTGGCTGTCCGGCATCAAAGCTCTCCATCATAGAGTTCTGCAGGGCATCCAGTGAATCCACGGGACTCCGCAAGCGCCTCCCCTGTGTGGCTTCCAAGTTGGGAGGCACTCCGAACTGCATTGGCCCACCAGCGAAGGGGCCGAGGTGCAGGGACAGCATACGTCGAGTCAGATCTACGACGCTGCGAGGCAGCACATTTCGCGCCGATGGAGGCCCATAATCCATTGGCAAGAACAGCTTCAGGGACCGGATCAGCGACCAGTCTGCTCGCTCCTTGTGGGCGCGGGAAGAGTAGAGCTGGCTGTGATGGTGTGGCCGGTCATCCAGCTCGTCCTCCAAGCCCCGGCGCCCGTAGTAGCGAAACCCATCCGGAAAGTGTGGCTCTGCCATGGACCACGACGGTAGAAGCACTACCTCGCAGCTTTCCGACAGCACTGGGCGCCGAGATCTCACGTAGGCCTTGTACAGTCGAGTCAAGATCGTGTCCATTTCGGCGACAGATCCTGGGGAGGTTCTAGAATCCCTACCCGAACCACCACTCCTGAAATTCTCCTCTCTCCACACCCTTCATCCCAAGCTTTCGTGGCAAGACTCGCTGGCGGACAAACATCGCAACAGACTCCCGAAGGAGCTGCTTGCCAATGCCACAACCTTGTGGAAGGGAACGTGGTGCGACGTGCGAAGCGCAAACCTTGGAATTCCAAGCTGCCGTGATACTCGCGAGTCGAGGCGGTTTCAAGTCCGAGGTGAGACAGCATTTGGTTGATATTTTCGACACGTAGTTGGGATTCTGCATGCGTGCCCAAGACCCGGGGATGAGACCGCTGTCGTTTGCAACCTCGCCTGCAACACACATGAGCCAAGTAGCCGTCGTTATGCCGTCTCCTCTGTCCGTGTGCGACCTTGCTTGGGGCCGACTCCGACAGCACTTGGGTTTGCACTAGCAAGCCTAACAAAAAGCAACTCATTCGCTAATTCCTTCCGTACATTCTGTGTTCTCGTTTTTTCTTGGGGCTCTGCCTCTGGATTTTCAGCCTCTTCACTGTTTGCTCTCCCTGTCCCTCAGGAACGCTAGTCCAGACCGCTGTCCAGACCGCTGGGCCCCACGCTGCTTGAAGGGCCTTATCGGGAGGGCTGATCCTCGCACCCGTCCCCGTAGCCGTACCCGTACCCGTAGCCGTACCCGTACTACTACTACTACTACTACTACTACTACTACTACTACTACTACTACTACTACTACTACTACTACTACTACTACTACTACTACTACTACTACTACTACTATTTCAATTGGACGCTGTGCGAGCGGGCTCAGCACTTTGCAGGCGATTGCCGCATGTGCACCCATGTTGGTGTGAAACTGACCCTGTGACCCTATTGGTCTGAGAACTCAAATGAAAAACGATGTTAGTATGTGTGTGGTACGGAGCTTTCTAGCCGAACGTGAAGCAGTTGGCCAGTTGGCCAATTGTGCTGCAGTTGCGCATCTTTCAGCCTCTTGTGTGCAGTGAAGAGCTTGGTACCTGGAAGGCATGGCTATGATGCCAGCGCAAATTCAAATGACACTCGCAACTGCAGCAAACGTGTCGGAACCATCGCTAAGGCACATCTTTTTCCTGACATGATGGCGTCGGCTGGTGTGCAAGAAAGCCATCAAAGCCTGCTTGAGCAGGAAGAAAGAGGCTATGTGGCAGGCAGTGCCTCCGCGGTTAGTTGTGCTGGCAACCATTGGCACCGTGAATGCGGTTCGCTGGCCCCGTTGTCGGCGGCCACTGGAGCCGGAACCCGAGCCGCGCTGCCACCAGTTCTCTTCTGACCAGTGTGGGTCCGGCCACGCATCTCTTTCACGGTGGCGTTTGTCCGTCTGTGTTGACGGCGCGTCACCTTGGCGCTTGTCACGCTGCTCCTTGTGCCGATGCCAGAGGAAGGCCGGCGTTTCTCCTTTGTTGTGTTCAATGGGGAGCTTGCGTTGCACCCGTCCATCCTTGGGCTGGTAGAAGATGGCGACGACGACGACGACTACTACTACTACTACGACTACTACTACGACTACTACTACTACTACTACTGCTGCTACTGCTACTACTACTACTACTACTACTACTGCTACTACTACTACTACTGCTGCTACTACTACGGGATTAGTACATATTTGACGCCCTGTTTTCCTGCTTCTAGGACTTCCACGACTTTGTTTGAGGGCCTGGATGTGTTGGTATTTACAGTATGTCCGTGTTTATACGTCTTTATCTCTGTAAACAAAGACCATGCAGACCCGAGCGCCTTAACGACCTCAAATACAGTCATAACACATGTCTTACTTCATCATACTCATCAACATCATCATACTCACCAACATCATCATTGACCTGGGGTGGGCGGGGTGGGGGGGGGGCTAATCGCGAGCATGTTCAACAACATCATCATACTCATCAACATCATCATACTCACCAACATCACGGCAATCCACTGACCAGACCTTTTGCAGCGCGAAGGCATGCCCAAACAGTGTGCTTGAATCCCAGGGTGCTCGAGGCGACGGAGATTCAAAACAGGACTTGTGATACCTTGCTGAGGCAGCAGGAAGCCACTTATTGGGAGTCCAAGCTGTTGAAGACTTCGTCATCCTCTGCCACGTCCAAATGCAAAACGAATGTCTTGGGCATTGGCACGGATCCATGGGGAGGCCTCTGACAATCTATGCATAGGAAAAGCTTGGTGGTGCCAGCAACGCCGCCGGTGTGCTTCGCCTTCTGCGCACTGCCACTGTAGGACTGCGTAGCCTGTGCTTTCAGCTTGCCGTCCTTGCGCACACGCCGCAGCCGTCGCTCCTTCCCTGCTTTGCCAGCACGCTGTCCAAGCTTAGCTTTCAGATCACGGATGATTTGCCCAGCTATGCTCGGACACGTCTCCTGACGGTGGCCAATGTCTGACCGCACTGAAATGCTGTCCCTGCTGTGTGTTTCTACATGTGAAGGCACAAAAAGAACGGCGTCAAATGCGCGCAGAGCGTGTACTACTACTACTACTACTACTACTACTACTACTACTACTACTACTACTACTACTACTACTACTACTACCTACTACTGCTACAATTACTTCTACTACTTTACTGCTGTCGTAATCGCCTTCCGACTACCTACCCAGTGCAGGCATTATCGCGCACTGGGAATTTATGTGCAAAATGACACACCACTCTCTCGCTCATTTGTTTTCTCTCTCGAGGTCCGCATTGGCAGACCTCGGGCACAATCGTTTCCCAATGGGTTGAACACGAGGTCAAAACCCTGAAACGTCACTCCTTTTGGGGGGCACTCAAAACAATGCTATCACAAATCGGACATATGCGGGATGGCGAACAACGGAATCGAACCACATGAGTTGGAGTAACACCCATGAGGCTGTCGCAATGTTTCTCAGGGGACAGGTTTGTGACGACGCTTCTTGTACGAATTCCGCCTTCAACAAGTTCCATACCGAGCGGACCAACAGCTTTAAGTCACCCCGAACCCCAAAGCTTTCCCGCTCACCTATGCTACTCGCCTGGGCGTCCAAGACTTCTCGAAGTCCTTTGCAGGCGATTGAGTTCAGGGTCATGCCAAAGCTTGAAACATGCAGCTTCTTCCGGCTTGTTCGCGCTCCAAGACTTCAACTTCTTTACCTCACAAAAAAGCGACATACACTTCCAAAACACTGCTAGCCCCACTCGAGGCTCCTCCTCCTCGAGGACCTGGGAGGGCAACGGGCCATCTGGCTCCAGGGGTCGCTCCAAAAAGACCTCGAGAAGGCGAACAACCCCACGCGAAGTGATGCGGAGCGCGGCGACACTCTGCAAAAAGGCGCTTGGCTAGGCCCCATGCACCCGCCAGCGTTCCCTGGACCTAACCCGATCATGCCCTCGTTCAAACTCTGCAATACTGTACAAGAATTACCCATATTACAGGCCTACGTGCTTCTTGTGAATGCAAGACAAAGACCCCAAGGCCGTCAGCCAAAGCGCCGCAGTCTGGGCAAGGCTCAACGATCCAGGAAGCCAGGAGTCAAAGGGGTTCCTTGCCCAAAGCATTTCGGTGCGCCACGAAGTAGCACGAGCTCCCAAAGGACAAAGATGGTGATGTCAAGAACAGCAACCCTGCAACCAGATATAACCGAAGAACACGAATGAGACGATGCTGGAGGGCCTCGCCTGTAGGACGAGATCTTTTCGTCTGTTTGCAATAGCTCACACACAAACCGCGAAGCCAAGCCTTGACAAACCTTCAAGAGCTCCGTGCGAGAGCTGCAGAGTTCAGATCGTTCACCCTCCAGGTTGTTCACAATTATCAATGGGAGCGACTTAAAGCCCCCCAGACAGAACCTCCATGGGCCGAGTGTCAGCAGAATTATGTCCATGCTGAGGCTGACCTGGGCTCGAAGAAACCCCAAAAACGGGTAAACATGCGATTGCAGCAAAAGCAGTAGCAGTGAATAGCGGTCGTGGTCGCCCACGCCGTCGTCGTCGCCAGTCAGCCAGCCGATGGAATCTCCTTCACTCTCGTCGCCGTCAGTCGCGATCAATGCAGCTGCAGGCGCGGCAGTAGATGGAGACGTGGCAGCACCCGCGACAAAGGACAGACTTCCCCAGTTAAACTTCGGCAGCCATTACACTTGAAGGGTGATTGTGGGGTGGGGTCGGAAGTTCAAAAGACGTTCTCATACTTGCAGCAGAGGCGCGCCACCAAACAAAACCTGCAAGGCCAAAACGCCCGAGTTTACCTTGGACGGCTGGATCTGCTGAGGCCCCAAGAGCTCTGATTGCCAATAGGGCCTCTAACACATCAGCCAGAGTTTGGCCGTCGTTTGCACGAGAGAGCCCTGTGGCCCAAAACTTGGGCATTGGGAGAAAGAATCTGCTTGCCCAAGGTTCATGAGCGCAGTGCAGCCGACCATTCCGAACCCAAGAAAGCACACTGCATGGACATGTCAAGTCCCCCAAGTGGCAAGCTCAATGAGGCAACGGTGCGAGATTGAAACGAGAAGCCGTGAAGACGAGGCCGTTTGGCTCGACGCCGACACGACCCAACGAGTCCTGTGCGCAACATACGGAGCGTGGTTCATCAGTTTGACAATGCTTTGGCCGTTACACCCGCGTAGCCACAAGGCTTTGTTTCTCAAGAACCAGAACTCGAAGCCTTGCATGCGCTGGTGATACATGTTCCGCGCTCCGTGATGTCCTGAAGCTGCTCGTCGGGGAACCCGAGCCTTTGCAATCTCGAAGCAAAGGCAGGGTCACTCTCCGGATTGACTCTGGCACGTCTCATCATGAAACAACCGGCATCTCAATACACTCTGCGACTCTGCGGTGTGGAGTGCCACGCCCTGTGAAGTTGGAACAAGACACTCATCCATCGGTGCGGCAGCACGATAGACCAAAGTCATGATGAGGTCCATGCGCAATGGAAACACCACGACGCAGTAGCCATCCGCGAGATAACTATCCTAGGACAAGAGCTGCACAATTACACACCACAGATGAGGTATGTGCCGCAGGGTTGCCAACCAAGGCTCGAAACGAGCCTGCATGCCATCGTCTGGAGCGATGCCGACCAACAACAGAATGACACGTGCCAACCTCGGTGCCCCAACTACCTTGACTCTGCCATCATTACCACCAGATATGCCGTGGAGAAAGCCTTCATCCATAAGATGCCTGGTATAACGAAACGTCACAAGCTACAACCATCATCATCTCACAATCATCTTCATAATCCTCGTCATTCTCATCCAGCTTCATCCTCATCGTCGTCATCATCAGCAACAACATTATCATCACCATCATCTCATCATAGGCATCTCCGGCATGACCATCATCAATAGACGGACACGACTAGCCGCAGCAGCGGCAACAGAAGAAGCACCACCTGTATCACCATCGACCACTCGAAGCTGCTTGCGGCCTTCTTGGGTAATCAGGTCATGCTCATGGCCGACATGTGACGGCTTGCATCAATATCACCGGAACACTGCACGAGTCTTGAAACAAGCCCCAGACAAGCAAACATTGAAGCCGGAAGCATGCACTTTCTGTATATGCTAGTTATTTAGTTGTGAGTCACTTTTGGCCAGAGGATCTTGAACTTCCTCCAAGTTGCGGATGGTTGAAAAGGACAGCGTCCAAGGCAGAGTACTCCGACGCAGCCATACCTGCACCCATGCCATGTGCTTGTTACGGCTGCGGTAGACACGCCGAAAGCAACTCTTTTTGTCGGCTTTTCTCACTATGTCACGAAGATACTCTACACATCCTTGCCTTCTGGGCTGGACTTCGATTCTGTCCCGCTGAGGTTGGAGGACTATGCTCTGCAAGTGCTTCAATGCCTCTTGTCCCGCTGTGGCATGCTCTCCGTCGGACGTCTCTGCAGCTTTTCAATCCCTTGCAAAGACAACGCCCGAACCTCCACCGGCACGGAAGCATCGCAAGCCCGGTGCCTGCAGGAGGGCCTTGGGACGTCCTGGCAAGGAAGAAGTTGGGCCCGTCGGTGCAGAGGTCCTGAGACCTGGGTGCAGGATGTGCCGTCCTAAGGACTTGCGAAGGAGACTGACGTGTGTGGTGGTGCTGGTGGTGATTGCTGATGATCCTGATGATGTTGATGGTGCTGGTGCTGCTGGTGCAGCTGCTGATGCTGATGCTGATGCCGGCGGTGCTGGCAGTGATGATGGTGCTGCAGCTGCTGCCGATGGTGCTGACGATGCAGTTGGCGAGATGATGATGATCATCATCATCATGATGACGAGAACGATGATGACGATGACGATGATGATGAGGATTAGGAGGATGTAGTGGTGATGATGTGGGTGGAGATGCTGCTTCGGGTGTGGCGGTGATGATGCTTAAGATTATGCCCGCTGTCCTTCTACAGCCGCACTCTTGCTCAAGCAATTTGGACGTTGATTCTTCACCTTGCTTGAAGCTTGGGCCGGTATCAGTTGTGCGTGCACTTTACCTCTTCTTTGCAAGCGCGGCTCCCCGCCCGGCTTCGCGCATTGTCGAAGAGTGAGTCCAACGACCAGCCGAGAGGGATCCTCTCATGGACGTGTCATCGTTCGGAGTCACTGGGGCGAGTAGCACACGTCACTTTTGTAAACCATATGTGTCAGAGAAGTCGGGCTTGGAACACGAATCCAAAATAATCTTGAAAGTTTGAGTGAGCTTCAATCCTTGACTTGAGAAGACGGAGTCCCGAAACCCTGAACAAACATGGCCCTGAAACTGAACCGGATTGATCCTCTCTGGAAGGGAAGACGCTACAGACAACAGCCCGAGAGCGAAGAACCGCCGCATGGCTCCGAGGTGGGAAAGGCATCCGACGCTCACATGGTGGGCTGAAGACTTCAAAACTAAGACTCTTAAGGATTTACCTTTTTGGCAATTGTGACCTTGTCAGGGCCGAAACGCGCGTGATATATCGCGAAGGCCATTGCAAGATGCTCGAGAAACACCTGAGTCCCTACCCACTAAGGGCCGGGCATTCATCGGAAAGCCATAAGCCAGCACAAAGAAGGTAATCCTTGCAAGCCTTGGGTCCCCCTGTTTCCAGAGGACATCACAGCTTGCAAAGGAAACGAACAGCTTTGGATCTCTGCACGTTCTTGACGTGATTGACAGTTCCGACTCTCATGGAACAAACTCCTGCTGATGTGCTCCACACTGCTATCGAAAAAAGTAAGAGCTACGATGATGTTGTTGTTATGCCAGGCTACACCGGACTGGCTCGGGCCCTGGATGACATGCACACGCAAAAAATATACAAGGTTGGGTATTGTTTGGGTCAAGCTCTTCCAACCGAAGCCCGAGAGACACCATTTACAGCTGCCGTACACTGGGCAGTCAGGGAGGGAGATTTGAAGGGAGACGGTCGCAAAGGCACCAAGTGACTTGACAAACACCACCCACAACTGCCGTGAACAGAAAGAGAGACAACAAGAAAGATTGCTGCTCAGAAACTTGACAGCCCATGTCCTATAGAGAGAGTGGGGTCGCTCGGGGGTCAAGAGAAAGGAGATAAGGGAACAGTGTGTTGGATGTTCAGAAACCTGGGACGAAGTCTGGACTCGAGAATGACTGTTAACACCTTACCCCTTGCATGGGACCCCAACGTGCAGCGTTTTCAGACCAGCTGCAAAGCCGGGCTTTGTCGAAATGCATGCTGGGCTTCGCGATCTGGGCCCACACAAAGCGGCCGCACTCAGAAAGCGCCTCTTCTTGGGCTCCCACGACCAGCGGTTCGGGCCTTGCAGAAGTTCTCCTGAACGCTAGTGTACAATGCCACCACAAAAACCCTGGCGCAAAACCATTCCAAATTTGCCGTGTCGGTGTCCAGTGGGGCGCTGCTTCTGATGTCGTGAACGCCGGCCACCCTCCGGCAATAGAAACTTTGCAGTCCCTGGCCGGATCAGGCGGGTCTGCGGATGCGCTCCCAAATCGACTGTGCAGCAAAGAACCCATCTGGGAAGCATGAGCTCGGATCAACTTTTCGCAGCTTCGGATTCCGTATGACACCTTTAACTGATTTAACTGTACACCGCACAAGTTCACTCCACAGTCTCAGCTGAAACCATCATCGTTTCGGTGTTCAGCGTGACGTCGATGTTGTCACCCGGCTGGCCTGATGGATGAATGAACGCACGAAAAACCGTTCTCTTGCTTGCTTGATGCTTGCTAAGCTTGCTTGCCACGGGAGAACCCTTGGCCAGAAGGCCTACCTGGGAAGCAGTCGCACTCTCCCCAAGCCCTTCTGTTCGTCTGGGTATAGGCAAGCAAACCCTTCTTCTTCTCCCTCTCTCCCGCATCCTGACGATCCCCTGTCAGAAGCAAAAAGCGTATCTCGTGATGCCTCGTGTACCTAAAACTACCCCAAGCCACGACACCTTCCACGGCCCAATTCCGTCCATGACCCTTGCTCTTCGATCCGGTCGCTGCTTTGGATCCTGGACCACTGGGCTTGAGCACGACCACCTCCTGCAAGGCAAACCAATCAGCGCAATGGTGCCAAAATGCAGAGATTCTTCACATGTTGACACGAGGCATGCTGGTGAATGACAAAGTTTCCCCACACCCGCTTCCCCAAGCAACTAAGAAAAACAGCTTGTCGTCCTGTTTGTCGCCACCAGCAGGGTAAAGACGGATATCCCAACTGGCGTTGCCCACAATCTGGAATTCCTCCCTCCTGAGCTCCCCAGCCTTGGGAGCATCGTCTCTGATGGTAACTTGCTGGCGGAAAACGGAATCTTCTCCAGCCATCGCCTTTTTGTGAATGCTCCATTTCTCCCACGATCCCACGATGTGGTGCGAATCGGCGACTTTTGAACCCTCTTGTTCTGATGCCGGAGATGCGCTGACTTCTCCACCTGCTTCAAGCTGCACATCCGAAGCACGGTCCTTCCGCTTTTTGTCGTCCCATTCTGGCGCAAAACTCACCGACAATCCAGGAGAAAGCGTAACGCCCTCCGCGATGCCTGTCCGGTGGACAAACACGTCCTCGCCACCTTCTGATGGCGTGATGAAGCCGAAACCTTTCTGGTCGTTCCAAAGTTTGACTGTACCTGTTTTCCTATCCGCGAAAGCACGGACGGCCCCGAGCCGTGGCAGCACATCACGGACGCGTCCGGGTCGCACTGCCGAACCCAGTGAGCGCCACAATGGTCGAAGGCTCATACTCCAGATCAGTGACCGATTGTCACATCCTAAGTTATTCGCTACGTGTCCTACGTTACAATCCACTGAGCTACGAAGCAACAACGGCCGCAGCACCATGTCTTCGATAACATGACTGGCGTTCATGGCCGACAGCTCGTGGGCAAACATGCAAACACGTCCATGGTTGCCTTCCTGCAAACGGGAGAAGCACGCTGCCTGCCAGTACGCATGCCCAAACTGCAAATCTCGCCAATTTCCCTGCTGACATGCCGCAATGACTCGGTTCCAGGCAAGACTTGGTTCAACGTTTCATCACCGCCTGCCGAACGGCCTTGGAAGGTGAAACGGTGCATGCGGCATCTGAACACGGCAGCTGAGTAAGCAGATGTGAGTCCGCTGCGCATGCAGTCCTGCAGGCTCGACGACTTCATCATGTGCAGGATGCTATGCGGCATTACAAAACTGGCCTTGAATGTTATTCGTCGGTCAGTGGCAATGGCACGGGTCAACATTGATGCAGATCCCGATTCAATTCTTGTGACTGCCATGGTGGCGACCTGGGCAGTTCACTGGTCACTTTCCACTCAGGCACACTCAGACCATTCGGAGCTTAGCCTCGCAAAAAAGATCGTGTTTGTTGCAACAACTATTCAACCGACCCTAAGACCTGCTTCATATACAATATTTTGGGAATGTGGAAACACAATTACCGAGCAAATTCAATTGTCGATCCCAGAACCGAACACCACACACACAATCCGAGAATGGTCATAGGCTTCTTGGTCCCGCATCACATGCTGCACTCACTTCATGGTTTCAAAACTTCGGAAAACCGCAGAACTTGGGATGAAGTCCTGAGTTTGCAAGTTCTTGCATGTTGCACCACACATTTTTTGACCAACCTCCCTTATAAGTCATTGGTGTACGGCGCGCCCCTCCGGGTTTGCCAGCAGTACCTCCATCGCACAACGCGATCCTTCCAACTGCAATACATCTGCTTGATCACGGGCTCAGGGTTCTCGTGCCCCTGAAACACTCGAAGCAGTTTCGTTTTTTGTATTTTGTCGCACCTTTTTAATACGAGCAAGTTCGCGCCAAAGGTCCCAGTGCAAACGCGCCCTACTCTGCAAGGCCGGCGCAGGTGGTGAGGAAAACGGCCGGTTAAGCAAGGTCCCACCGCGCCTCGGGCTCTGGGCCTCCTCCGAGCTCGGACAGCGGGGGGGAGCTCAAAAACAGAGGCAGCAAAAGCGTGCTGGGTTGCCACAGCCACAAGCCCGGACCAGCGCGCGACCTGGGCAGTGATCTCGGCCGGTCTGGATGCGACAGGGACGGCGGCCGCCTTATGTCGCACGAACAGGCGCAGGAGCTGCACGGTCCAACAACAACGAGGCGACACCGCCGGGCACGCGCGAGTTCAGGGCCGGTTTGATGCCGCTTCCGGCGCGCTGCGCCGCACTGGAATGGGCCTCGCCAAGCCGCTTGAGGGGCGACACGATGATGGCATCGACGGTGCCATAGGGGGAGACCGTTCGCGACAACTTCGATGCGCCGCGCGTCGGCGACTGGCACATCGATGATTTTTTTCCATACACCTTTCTGCAACAGCACGAAAGCCACGGTCCGGTCCCTCTGGACACTGCAAGCTACAAGGACGAGGATGGGTGTCAGCGCCGCTGCGATGCACATCACCGTGCGGGCAGGCGACTGGGATGTGGCGGGCTGTCTCCGGTGCTCGGCGAGCACGTCGCTGAGGTCAGGGGGCGAGCCATCGACGTTGGTAGCGCCGTGGAGGGGCAGTGACAACAGCGCAGCTGCAAAGGACCTGGCAGCTGCAAACGCGAGAAACCCAGACCATCGCTGCACCCATGCTGCGGTGCTGCTGGCACGCAGGTGGGGTGCGGACCGTGCCCGGCTGCGGGAGACCTCGATGTTGCACTGGTGGCCAAGGTGGATGCAGCCCTTGCTGAGCACGTCCAAAAGGGGTTGAACTGGGAGGTTTTGTCGTCATCCGTTGGCCTTCGGTGGCCGGAGCTGCTTCAGATGATTCAAGCGGCAGGAAACGCCACACTCCAGAAGTCAGAGTCCGAATTGCAAGTTCTCAGGAAGACCTTCCAGCTGATCGTTGCCCAGCAGAAGTCAGGCATCCAATTGGACTTTAACATCATAAAGAAGAAGGCATTGTCCTCTCGACCTGCTTGTGGTAGTTCCTTCGCCCACCTTTACCAGTTCGCCCTGAAGCTCCTTACTCAGCATGTTTTGTATCGCCTGCAGGGCTTACAGCTCGCATGGCAGGTACATTTCTTTGTTGCATGCATGCATGGGAGTTGTTTTGGGGTGTCTTGTAGTATAATATTCTAGAACAGGTATTGTGGAGGAGTCGATGGCAAGTTCTTGGCTGAGACAGAGCAGTATGTGAGGGCCAGGGGCTCCACGACAGCTCTCGGCGACAAGGTCTGGGAGGCGATCTGTCATGAAATCAAAGGCAGCAAGAACCAGGCGGTCTTCTTTCGACACGGCTTGCTCAAATCGGCTTTGACAGGCATGCACATGAGTGCGACGGAGGTGAAGCGAGTTTTCAACAATACCTCCATGGTTGGCAAGGCACTGAAGGCCGATGGTCTGATGTCCGAGCTGCGAGGGCTGCTTAGCCCTCATGTGAATCTCAATGACCAGAACCTCGTGAATGTGTTCGCTGTGGTGGACAGCAACCTTGTGGCACATGTGAGGGGCTTGAGTGTGCATGCCGAAGAGAAGAAGTACAAAGCCTTGGAAGGCATCGTGCACGATGCAGTGTCCATCCTCAGCGGGATCATCGGGGTGCAGATCGACTCCCCGTGGCAGTCGCATGCAGAGGCGGTCCCAAGTGCATCGGCAAGTGCTGCCAAACCGGTAGACCGCCTAGTGGAGCTCAATTCGGATGGATCAATGAAGACCCCAGGGGCGATTCTGGAGGGAATGAAGATGGCCGTGGGCTCGTCTGTTCGGCGACGGAAAGACAAAATGGAGTGCCAAATTCTGTCAATCGACAGTGCTGTGAAGCTGAAGAGCCTGGCCGACGGCCGGGCGCTGAGAGCACCGATCGACTCGTTCGTGCGAAGTGAATGGCAGATCTTCACTCCCAAGGCAGAAGTGCATGAGATCGAGGATCTCGTTCCATTCGGACCCCGGTCAGTCCACCCGGAGTCATTGATCCACACGGAAATGCATGCTCTGGTTGACCATCATGACATGCATGACACGATGGCGAAGTTGAAGTTGCACATTCGCCCCACCAAACTGCTGGCGAAGACGGCTGTGGGCAAGGGCAAGCTCATGCTGGTGCCCTTCAGCTCCAAAGTGGTTTCCCGAGCCAGCAGCGGTGGAGGTGACTTTGAAAAAAGGCTGCCACGATCGTCGCTTCTTCATTGCTGCATCCAACATCATGCCGAAAGCAAGCGAGGATGCACCGGACGACCTCGTGGGGTTCTTGTCCCCATTTTTCTTGGTCCAGACTGTAGAGGGCGAGACCAAAGCCAACATGACCATAGTGCTATCCGGAACCAAGCAATCGGATGTTCGGATCCCGATGCTGAAGAACTCGGTGGCTCTGACTGCCGGGCAAGAGTTGCTTGTGCACAAGGAGAAGGCCCCGAAGCAGGAAGACCCACTGGAGGCAGCATCCCCCGAAAGGCGAGTGAAAGGCAAGAAAGCTGCATAATTGAGATGCAGACATGCTAGCCATTTTGACATGAACTCGGGAGTGAGCAAAAATCGCCTCGGCCTCGGGCCAGAGATCGGCGAGCATATGTGTTGCAGAGCTTTGATCGCTTTTGCAAGAGATCGACAGAGCCTTTCATCGGTTGTGCAAAAGTTTGCAGCTCCGGTCGTGCCATGCAGGTACATGGGCAGGAGCTTGGAGTGCATGTTGCATTGTGGCATGAAACATGCATGAACGATGGCACATTTCTTGCTCTGTCCAAATGGGACAGACAATGTATCCTCGCCTTGACAGATAGGGCATTGGACCTGAGGGCAAACAAGGACGGTGGCAGCTTGAACTCGGAGGTCTGGGCCGAGCTCCTTGCAGCTCGACAAGAGGTCGCCAATGAGGCCATCGAGGAGGCTTTCAAGACGGAGGACCAGGACCAAGAGAAGGGGAACAATAAGAAAACCAAGGCACTCAGGGCATCGTCGAAACACCCCCCATGGCTCCTCCCATCCTCACCGTGCACTACAAGGGGCATGCCTTTCGTGTGCTTTACGAAGGTTTGGGAGGCAACACGCTGTGGGTCGAGGCTAAGGAGGACACCCTGCGACTGTTGAAGAAGTTCCTGTCTGAGTCCAAGCCCAAGCCCCGTTCCAAGCCCAAGGCCAAGGTTAAGCAGGCAGCGAAGTCCCCGAAGAAGCGACGACAGTTGCACAAGACCGACAGCAAGTGAGCCGGACATCAGTGTATATGTATATATCAGCTGGGAGGCATGTTGCAATCTTGACAGTGCCGTCATGCCGAGGGTTCACAAAGGGGGTGCAAGTGCATGATGCATGCAATGAGTTTTCGAAAGAGGGGGGGAGAGAGAAAACGAGAGAGAGAGAGAGAGAGAGAGAGAGAGAGAGAGAGAGAGAGAGAGAGAGAGAGAGAGAGAGAGTGAGAGAGAGAGAGAGAGAGGTGTGTGTGTGTGTGTGTGTGTGCGTGTTGTGTGTTTCTGAGTTTGTGCATTGTATGCATGGCATGCATGGCACGAAAACCTCTGGTGCGCAGCACTTTTGGCTGCGAATGCATGGTGCTTGGGCATGGAAGTTCACATGCTGCATGCATGGGGCATGCACAGGCATTCACAGGCCACTTTGCAGGCACTTCGGTAGGATGGTCATCCTGAGTGCCTCGATGGCCGGGGACGACGAGGAGGAGATGGCCTTGTTCGTCCAGCTTGACCTCCTGGAGAGCTTCCAGCCGATGAAGAGAGGAGCCTCATAGTTGTCACTTTGAACTAAAGGTTTTTCATGCACATGCAGGACGATGGGGAAACACGTCCTCTCAGTTCCGGTGGACGAAAGCCTCCGGCTGGAGACTGGTCAGGTTGGAGGTGGGTTGTTGCCGCTTTTGCAGCCTTTGGTATCATCCCTCTACATACTATATCTTCCTGTTGCAGGATGGACAGGGCTTCTGGTGCCATCCAGACATGGATGCACCTCAGCCCCCGGCTGAAGGCACCCAGATCAACACTCCGTTAGAATATTTACAAAATAAACCTGTCAGGCTGGCAGTTCTGGAAAGACGGGGACTGGCAGGAGTCCGGGCTTTCCTTGCTGCAGATCGTGCAGACGGATGACGAGGTGGAGGCAGGATTCTTTTCACATTGCATTGATGTAATTATAAAAGAACCATGCAGGATGTCGATCCGGGGGCAAGGCCGGAAGGGCCGCCTGCTGACCCGATGCATTCTGCTGCTGGCTGCTCTGCGAACCACTCGACCTCGTACCAAAGATCTGCAAACCTTGCAAACCCGAGCTTTGGCCACTGCCCTGCTGCATGCCTGCATTATTCCCCATCAACATTTGCATCATGGAGAACATGGTC